CTGCACCAAAAAAATACACTGACAAATACGGCTGAAATGGACTAAAGCTTACTTCTTTGCGAAGTCCAAACTTCTTGTTGATTTCCCAAATTTCATGTTTGCCACGCAGAAGGATTATGCGTCGCGGGAAGCGTATCTTCAGCAACAGTAGGAACATAATAGTATGAAGAGCTTGTGGCGCATCGTCAATATAATTGCCTGAAAAATATGTTTTAATAGGAATGAAAGACGTATGCTCAAATTTCAGTGATACTTTATTGGCGGCCGAGATTCGTGAGCCCATATGTATCTCTCGGCTTCTTTGTGAACTTAAAAAGTATCAAGGCTTTCATGGCATCGATGATTATCTGTCACAGTCTAAAAAAACACTTCTCCAATCTTTCGCTTCTTCCTATCGTCGATCTCTAGCAGTACCGACTCGCTCTGAGATTCTTTACTTTTCTCAGCGAATTTTGATCACATATTTTAACACACTCTGTTGATGAAAAGAAAAAGTTAAAAACCTAGAAAAACTAAAGTTTTCGTGCTAGGCAGTCCGATGGAGCCAATAATTAAGATTAGATCCCAAAAACTGGCATTCAGGTCGCCAATCACGTACACTCCATTTGGACAATGTACATGAACCAGTGAGCCGCATTCGCAAAGTTCCAAATACGCTTTATGACACACCTAGACAGAAAAACAATTTTGTGAAAATAGAAGAGTTCAGTAAACCAGGAAAAATTTCAGAAATTTCTTTTGGTCACCAAGCAGCTTTGCGCAGCATATGAAAAAGCCCAAAATTTGAAACTCTATTTGATGCGCCAAAACGGATCAAATAACAATCCGAGACCGAAGTAACAAGACAGAACTTAACTTTGAAAGCTGAGCTTAGAATACTTAGTTGGCGATGCGTAATGAATTAAATTTCTAAAATTCGGGGCTTTGCTTGCCTCTCCTGTCATAAAAATTAATTCACCAGTACAAAATGAGAAATGCAGACTGATTTCAGGATAGTATTTTCCTGCTTTTGT